GTGACCTGATCATAAAAGGCAATCAGGTTGGTCTGACATGACCTGCCCCTAATGAAACCGTGCTGGTTGCCCTTGGGTATCATCCCTGAAGCCGGTCCATCACAGATGTGCTCCTTGATGATCTTCTCAAAGAGTTTCCCTAGGATTGAGGTAAGACTGATGGGCCTATAGTTGCCTGGGTCTTCCCTCCTCCCTTTTTTAAAGATGGGGACCACGTTGTCTATTTTCCAATCATCCGGCACCTGGCCCGAGCACCATGAGTACTTGTAAAGCCGTGCCAAAGCTCCTGCAATAACCCCTGCTAGCTCTCTCAACACCCTGAGTGGAGAGCATCTGGACCCGCTGATTTGAACATGTCCAGCCCCTCCAGAAGCTCTCTAACCTGGTCCTCTCCCACCTGAGGTCTGGAGGCATTCCTCTTGAGTCCATCTTGCATCATGGTGGGGAAGTGGAGAAAATGGAGGTGAAGAATCGGTTAAAGAGGTCTGCTTTCTCCTCTGGTGCAACCACCAGATTGCCCAGAGGATCTTGCAGGGGCCCCACATTTCCTGGTACTTTCTTCATCCTCCCTATATATTTGAAAAAGGACTTTTTGTTATCCTTGATTTTGGATGCAAGTCCTAGCTTTATGTCCACCTTAGTTTTCCTGACAGCCACCCTACAGGCCCGAGCAGAGGAGGTATACATCTCTTTGGAGATAGCACCCCCCTTCCACTGGTTGTACACTGCCTTTTTGGCAATCGGGCATTCCAGGATGCCCTTGGTGAGCCAGGGAGCCTTTCGGGCACTTCTGCCCCCCCTCACTTCTTGTTGGGATGGTCACCCCTTGGGCCCTGAGTATCGTCTCCTTAAGGAACGACCACTCATCTTGGGCACTGAGTTCTCCTGCTCTCGAGAACCCCAGCGCCTCTCCCACTAATCTCCTCAACTCATTGAAGCTGGCCCTCTTGAAGTCTAGGGCTACTGCCTTGCTGCAGGCCCTTGACACCATGCGCTGGATTGTGAATTCCAGCAAGCAATGATCGCTGTCACCCAGGTGGTCAAGAACCTGGAGGTCGTCGCCTGGTGAACATAATGGTCACCATGAACATAATGATTTCATGGTCACTATTTCCTAGGCTGACCTCTATGTTTAAGTTGGTCACCAGGTCATCCCCTTTGACCAGGGCTAGGTCAAGAACTGCATTACCTTTAGATGGACTGTGCACGTCCCGAATCAAAAAATGCTCTTCGGTGCTAGTCAGGAAGGATCATGATTGATCCGAGCTGGCTGAGCAGTCAGCTCTCAGGAGATGTCTGGGTAGTTGAAGTCACCCGTGACAACCATGTCCCATGCACATGTGTCCTCCATTAGTTCATGGGTGAACGCTAGATCAAGCTCTTCCCCTTGGTCAGGCAGCCTATAGTATATATCTATGGTCAGGTCTGTCTTGCCACACCTCCCCTGGAGCTTGACCCAGAGGGTTTCAAGCTGTTCTTCTTTGGGGCCAACATCAGCCTGTAGGGAGGTGTACTGCTCCTTCACATAGAGGGCAACACCCCCATCTCTCTTCCCTACCCGATCCCTTCTTTGAAAGACATAGCCCTTTATGTCTATGCTCCAGTCATGAGAGGAGTCCCACCAGGTCTCTGTGATTCCTATTAGATTGTAGAGCCCAGTGGAAAGCAGGAGGATTAATTCCTCCTGCTTGTTCCCCATGCTTCTGGCATTGGTGTACAGGCACCTAAGTCCTTCTACTGAGGTCACTGGCCACCTGTTGCATTGAAGGGGAGCTGTTTTGTCAGCTCCCATAAGAGTGGCTTGCTTGGTTTCATTGTCGATGGAGCTTTCCTGTATATTGGTCCCTTGGTAGGCCCTAGTTAGCATTTCTCCATCCCCCTGTGATCTTAGTTTAAAGCCCTAAGAGATTCACCATCCTGGCTGAGAAAAGGGACTTGCCTTTCTGTGTGAGGTGGACGCCATCTCTCCTCAGGGGTCCTCTGTCCTTGAAGTGGGCATCATGGTTGTAGAAGCCAAAGCCTTCTTTGTGGCACCACCATCAGAGACACCGGTTCACCTCAACAATATATTCTTGCCTGTTTGGACCAAGGCCTGCTACAGGGAGCATAGAGGAAAAAACTACCATAGCCCCTGACCCTTTAAGCCCAGTTCCCAGAGACTTGTAGTCACCCATGATGTGGTCTGGATTGTTCCTGGCCATGTCACTTGGTTCCACATGGATAAGGAGCATGGGGTAGTAATCTGTGGGCTGGACAATCCTGGGGATCCCCTCTGTGACATCACGGATCTGTGCCCCAGGGAGAACGCAGAATTTTCGTGCTGTGGGATCCGGGTGGCAGATGTCTCCCTCCATTCCTCTCAGCAGGGAGTTGCCTACTATGATTACCCGACGTCTTCTCCTCCAGTTGCTCTGTTGCCTTGTAGCCTGCCTGGTGGTAGTTGTGGGTGTGGCCTATGTTGCTGCACTCTCTGTTGCTGCACTCACTCTCAGCAATGCCAGGGCCCCAAATTGGTTCCTCAGGTGCACTGGAGTTGTTCCAGCAATGCGGGATCTAATTCTGCATTGTCTAGAACTAGAGGTGACTGTCTTTCATCCGTCTGTGTCATGTCTCTCTTGTGTTGCCATTCCACCATTTGAGTGATGCTGCAAAGAGTGGAAGTACCCGTCAATCTCATCCTCAGTGGCTCTGATCCCATGCAGCCTGCTAACCTCTGCCTGGAGTTCCCTCACCTGCCCTTTCAGGGCCTCAATCTGGGCACATGTGGGACTGGTGAGGGGACTCCTGGCCATCCTGCTGCCCCCAGGCCCAGGACCCACCAGGTAACCCCTGCAGGCAGGGGACCCGGGTCCTGCCGACCCACCCAAAGTGTCTGTCTGGGTGGATGCCTCAGAGAAGCCCTGGGCAGGAGGCAGTATCAGAACAGGGTCCCTGGCTGCACTTTGAGTCACCACCCCCATTAACACTGTCATGTGCACTCACCTAAAGACTCTGGAGACTCCGTCCAAAGCTACTGACTCTGACACGTGGAGTCTCAGGCCCCTCCTGCTCTCCCCCCTGCACCTACTCCCATGCAAACTCCAGTGTGCCCCTGAAGAGCACGCGTGTTTGCGGGGCCTGTTCGCATGGCTCCTCCCCAGCGCAGCTAAATAGGGGTGGGAGGGGAGGAAAACCCCTTCGTGATTCCCTACAGCTGGCCTGGCTCCTTCTCACTAAGGCATCAGTGATGAAGGCATCACTAATGCCTTGGGCTCCTGGAATGGTAGGGAATTTGTCAAGTGAAAAGTTCCAGATGATCTTAAAAAGTGAACTATGCTCCACAGTACAGAGAAGGGCAAAAAACCAACAGTGGATCTTGCCCATCTGACTTATTCTTTTTTGTCACTAATCTGGTGAACAGAAATCTGGCAGAGGTAACTATTAGCAGCTATTAACCTTAGTTGAAAGGTAGGGGGTCTTGAGAGAGAGACAATTATCTGGATGCAAGATGAAAAAAATGTGCTTGGACAGAGACTTACATGAAGACACCTCTCCACCTCTCTGGCAGTGAAAAGGGACATCAGTTGAAAGCAAATGTGAAAAGACTTGTAGTCTGTATCGGGAAGCAAGGAGAAAATTGAATGAGAATGCTGGCCATCTGATGAGCATGTACTGTCTGTCTATTTGTCTTCCTTGCCTTTAATTTTTATCTGAGAATTTTCCTATCTGAACTCCTTTCAACTCACTTTGCAGCAAGATATCCAGGGAAGTGCAGACAGCTTCCAATGGAAAATGTATTCAGAAAACCTTCTCTGCAGCCTTTTGTTTGTTTCCTTGATCTACCTTACTTCCTGTGGTAGGTAGCCTTTGCATGCAGTCATGTAGTCTTTGCAGGCCTGTAAACACTGATGGGTTTTATGGTGTCTTTGGTGAAAAAGACATCATGACACACTAGGTGGGTCAACACATGCATTAATGCACTTTTCCTAATGCGTATTAAATTTAGTATCTCCAATGTTTTGTATCTTCAATAAATGTGCATTAGGCTGCCCTGATGCACAGTTCCAAAAGCAAATGTTTTTAAAGTGACTTTTAATGCGCAGTAGCCTATTTTACTGAGCATTAGCATAATTGTACTTTTTTTACATGATGCTTTAATGCACAGTAAAATAGGCCTACTGTGCATTAAAGCGCATGTGTAGATGTGCCCACTGATGGGTAAAGATCATAACAAGAATAGTAGATTATGGAAAATGTCAGAAGCTCATTTGGGCTGGAGAAGACCAAAAGATTTTTTTTATTTGTGTTTTTAGAAGGAAATTTAAAAAAAAGAACATGGAGGTGCCTTTTTCTGTGTCAGTTCTATTAGTGTTTCCGAAAAATCGCTCCCCTGTTAGTGCACATTTTCATGTCCCTAAGGGTAGTGGTCTTAACTACCATTTGTGTTTTCCATGATCTTCCCCTTATTTCCTTTGCAGATAAGGTGTACACAGCCTTAAAAGCTTCATAGTTTCTTTCCTGGATGTTTTGTAGTCATGTACAATGTTTGACTACAAGTATTTTCTGGCAAAATAAGCAATATTTTTACTGGCAGAAGAGGCTTTCTGAACTTGGGCATTCATTCATATGACTTTAGCTGTGAAAGTTTTGTACATCTTTCAAGGAGATAAGATCCATGAAAAAGGGGGAGAGAAAAAAGTTAAAAGTATTACTGGATGCGTCTGTATGAGACACTTTACTGAACATTAGACAAATCTAATGTTCAGTAAAGTGTCACTGTTTACATGCACTCGACACTTAACCGCACATTAAATTAGTCTAATATGCCATTTACTAGTATTGACAAAGACAAGTACTAGAAAATGGCATGTTCATTTAATGTAGACATTAGCGCACATGTAGACACTGACTGGGAGCAATTTGCTCCTGGGGGGCCCAGGCATCAGGGGGTCAGAGATGCTGAGCTCCAGGGTGTGGGGGACAGCTCCCAGCCACACAGCTCAAGATCACAATACAGCTCAGTCGCACTGGCTTGGGGCCTGGGAGGGGAGGGATGGGGGGGAGAGGCTACTGACTCTGTGCTACAGAGGAGCCTCTTGGAGTCCCCTGCCTTGCTCATGAGGGCAGGGGCTGGAGCCATCCAAGGGCTTGGTGCAGTAGGGATGCTTCCCACAGGGAGGAACAGAAAGATGGGGTGGCCCCACAACATACAACTACTCTTGCTGATCTTGTGCTAGCTGGGTTCTGTACATCCAGCTGGTGTGAGGCTGATCTGGGTTTGGGTGGCAGGAAGGGGAAATTCTCACAGACCTGGCTAAGGCAGGTGGCACAGCACAGAGCAGCCCAGTGCAGGACCCCCAGATGCCCCATTCTTTTCTGCCAGCAGGAGATGTAGATCCCTCTTGTCACAGCACTGCTCAGCTCCTGCCTCCCCCCAGCACTAGGCAGGAGCCAGGGTGTGGGCTGGGGGATCCCAGCTCATCATAGCCCTTCCTCTGGCCAAGTACCTTGGGAGGCAGAATGACTCTGAGGTCCATAGGTTGCAAGCCAGCACCACTGAGCCAGGCTGTGATCCCAAGCTCTGTGCAGCTGGGAGCTGTCCCCCACTCTGGGACAGTTCTCCCGCACAATTCCCTGCATCCCAGGCCTGACCCCCATGTGCCCTGCCAGCCTGAGGCTGACTGCCAGGGGAGCCTGGAGTTCTCCCTGGCTGCTGTTGGGGGGGGTGGGGTGGGGTGGGGAGAGCAGATCAGGGCAGGGAGACCAGAGCAGCCCCGGACTGAACTATTCCCATTGGGAGCAAATTTCCTCTTGGTGACTGTACACATTCAGATATGTGCCAGGCGTGAATTTACTACACCTGAATTTTCTGCGCAGAAAATGCAGGCATGTTAATTTAATAGATTTCATAGACATTAGGGCTGGAAGGGACCTCGAAGATCGTTAAGTCCAGCCCCCTACCCCAGGGGCAGGAAGTTAGCTAGGGTCAAAGGATCCCAGCAAGATAAGCATTTAAGCATTTCTTGAATGAGTCCAGAGTAGGTGCCTGCACCACTTCTGGAGGGAGTGTATTCTAGGTCTTGGGGGCTTGGATTGTAAAGAAATTTTTTTTTATGTCCAGCCTAAAATGGTCTTGTAGGAGTTTATGACCGTTGGTCCTTGTTTTTCCTTGGGGTGCTCAGATATTCTCCCAGATCCTGATGTACACACATTATGTACTTATAAGCAGCCACCAAGTCCCCCCTGAACCTGTGCTTTTCCAAGCTGAAGAGTCCCAGCCTCTCTTCATAAGGCCTATTCTCTTGCCCTCAGATCATGCGCGTGGACTGTCAAGCTTCTCAACATCTTTCTTGAATTGCGGAGCCCAGAATTGGATGCAGTACTCCAGCTGTGGCCTCACCAAGACTGAGTGCAGCGGGACGATGACATCCTGAAACGTGCCCACTGAAAGTGGAGTATTTTTATGGTCAAACTATTCAGAGCCAGTTTGCAAACAGAAATTTGCTAGAAAAAAGAATCATGCTTTAGGGTACATCTACACATGCATTTGACATGGGATCAGTTTACTCACGAATAAATGACTTGTGAGTAAATGCTCCCAGGGAGGCATCTACACATGCAGGGAAGTGGGAGCAGATTTACTGCTAATGGCAGCAAATTACTCCTGCTTCCTGAGGCCCTGCAATGGGCCCCTGCTACCACCAGGGGAGTGCTAGGCTCCTGCTGGGTGCTAACCCAGGGGCTGGCAGGGGGTGCCAGGCCAGGAGACAGCTATCTCCTGGGCGGCACTGGGACATTGCACTCTGCCCCCAGGGGCTTCTTCCTTCTGGCACAGGGAAATTGTCCCTCAGCTCCAGCAGCCAGGAGCTCCTGACCCCAGCTCCCTGATCAGGGGCAGGGGGGCTTGGAAATCTGCTGTTGGGACACATAGCAGCTAGCTCACTGCTAGCTGTCCCACTGGTAGATTGGAGCAGGGGGCTAGGACCTATTCCACCCCTGCAGTGCTTTCCAAGCCCTTTGGGGCCATGGGGCTGGAATCTGCCCCTGACCAGGATAGTTCCCAGGACCTGCTCTGTGATTGTGGGGTGGAAGCTGGGGATCGTGTTCCCTGCTCAGCTCTGTGAGTATGGAGCTGGGTAGGGAACAGGCTGGGGAGCTTGGTCTCCACTCAGTAGGGCTGTGGAAAATTTCAGCAGCTGTTTCATTTTGGAGGTGTTTTGGGCTGTTTCAGTGCCTGAAACACTGAATCTGAATGGAAATGAAAGGCTCTGAAATATCTCCAAAATGAAACAAGGCATCCAAAACATTTTGGAAATATTTTGGAGTTTCAGAGCTGGGCTTGCAGGGAAACAGCTGCACGTTGCTGCCCTGTCATGTAACTCAGCTCTTCAGGGAGCAGAGATCTGTGCCAGGGTTCTCCTCACTGCCACTGCCTGTCCTGTGCAGCCCTGGATCTCTGCTCCCTGCAGAGCCAGGTCACACAGCAGGGACTAGCACTGCCCTCCTGTGCAACCTGGCTCCACAGGGAGTAGAGATCTGTGCCAGGGGTCTCCTCACTGCTGCTGCCCTCCCCATGCAGCCCCAGATCTTTTTTTCCTGTGGAGTCAGATCATGTGGCAGAGACCGGCACTGCTTTGCCATGTGACTTGGCTCCCCAGGGAGTAGAGATCAATGCTAGGGTCTCCTTGCCGCCACTGCCCACCTTGCACAGCCCCATGTTGCCGGAGCAGCATGGGGCAGGCAGCAGTGGTGAGGAGACCCCTGGAACGGATCTTTGCTCCCTACAGAACCGAGGTGCATGGCAGGGACCAGCAGGCTTGCTCACTGCTCTGTGCTGCTTCCTTGCCCTGTGACCTGGAGTGACAGGGATCAGAAATCTGCACAGGGGTCTCCTTGCCTGCATGGAGGGCAGCGGGCCTTCCCCAGACAAGCCAGCCCGTTCAAAACAGATTCGGAGGAGATTCGGCAAAGCCGAATCTCCGAAACAGGTTCAGCTGAAATGAAACAGGACAGTGATCCAAAATACCAAAACAAATCACTATCCTCCAAAACAGCCAAATCAGAATCGAAACACAGCTGTTTCACACAGCACTCAGCTGCACGATCATGAAGCTGGGTGGGGACAGGCTCCTCAGCCCCTGCTAGCAGGGAGCTCCCAGTGCCAGCTCCATGACTGTGGGGCCAGAGCTAGGAGATGTTTATGTTCCAGCCTGAGCTTTGTGGTTGTGGGGCTCAGGCTGGGAGACCTATATCTGTCTATGCCAGCTTTGTGATAGCAGGAACTGAGCTGGGAAATCCTTATTTCAGAGTGGGGGGCTTGGAGCTCCCTGCTGTGGGGCAGGAGGACATAGTCTCCACTCAGGCTCTGGTGGCAGAGTCCACCCTGGCAGCAGGCAGCTCCCAGGGGCAGGGAGCTCTCTCTCCTGGTCAATCATCTACATGAGAACTACTGTGCTGTTACTAATTGAAAGTAAATTTCCAATTTGTATTTGCAGGTAGCAAATTTACTCATGATTAATGAGGTTTGTTGCTCAGTAAGCATGTGCATGTGTATATGCACATGCTTACTGTGCAGTAAACTATGCTGCTGCACTGTAATGCATCTCATGTAGATGAGCTCTTTGAGTATTTTTTATAAAAATGCCCGTATCATGACATGTTTGACTTTAGTATACACTGCACACATTTCTACATTGTGCATGTCTTTTTTCCTATGAATAAGTCCCATCTGGGGCCACAGAAATAACCTTTTCGAAATAAAGTTTGAAAAATAATTTGATACTTGATTCTCTATTCTCTTGTGTCACGTGTCATCCTTTAGACTGTAGATCACTTTGATCTTTATATTTACCAGAACTGTGAATTTGGTACAAAGTAGCCTAAATTGATGGTCACCTGAAAAAGTGACTGTGATCACAGAGAGGTAATTAGCTATGCTAGTCTGAAGTCAGGCAGAAGGCAGGGTAGTGTTCTATCTTATAGACTACTGAATCAGTCTATATGTTACTATGAGGTAAGGTAAGATGTGGACTTTACAGTGCAGTGATTATTCTGTGGTTACACAGGATCCAGGTAGAAGTTAAGACACCTGGGGCAGATACAGACATTATGCTTTAACCAATATCAGCAATCAGAAACTGGTCTATACTTGTAACAAAACAGAAGTTCAGCACAGAAAACTTGTCTGTACCCATAACAGAACAGAAATTTGGTGCACACAGACTGCTTTAAAAATGATAGAATATGGGGTCTAAGATTTGCTCCCCCACCCTCATAAAAAGGTGAATGTGTGTTCTTTTTGCTACCAATCTAAATCATGCTGCTTACAGAAAAATGCATAATTTAGATCGATTCAACCTCAGGCTTTTTGAATATCTGTACCTAGCCATGGATACTATTTCTGACTCTGTAATTAATTCAGTACGTGACCAGGGCTAAGTTACAGAAATTCATTGCCCCTTGGTTTCTCCATTTTTAAACTGGCATAACAATGCTTATCTGTCTGAGCTCTACAGCTGAAAATGCTCTTACATAGATGGAAAGTATGTATATGTATATGTGTGTATCTTGAGTATCTTTCTGCAGTGCCTGTCTGGTTGCATGTGAATACTTGTGCCTAGAAAAAATAAACTCTGGAGTGATAAGCTCTGGAATTTATTCACGTGTATTAATATGCATGTGTAGACACTCCCATAGTATTTCTTGAAATTTATATAAAGAATTATACGCTGACAACTCTAGATCTGGGAAACAGCTGAAACTTAACTAGGCATGTGCACACTCTCTCTTTAGATAGATGGGTAAATGAATTTATTTATTTATTCCTATAGGCCTAGGAATTCAGGAGGCCAGGGTTCATTTCCAATTCTGCCACTGGCTTTCTGGGTAATTTACTAAGGCCTGAATTTCCCTGTCTGTAAAACTGGGATAAAGATACTGATCTTCTGTGTGACGTGCTTTGTGATCTGATATATGAATGCTGGGTGCCATTACTGTCATTAAAGAGGAGAGAATGCAGTACATGGTTAAAAGTACTATGATTCTTGTCCTGAAGTATATAAATATGTACTTACAAAGAAATCACCCAGGTAAGCTGAGGTTATTCCTTCTGTGGCTCCATCTGTTAAGCTGATAACAGGGAAACATATTGACAGGGGCTCAAGGAAAACATGAAATATTTCATCAGTAAGATTATACCCCACAGAGACAGATGTTGGGAAGCCATAACATTTAAAAATAAAGAGATAAACACATGCTCACAGGAAGGACAGAAGGATTTTTCGACTGTGCCAGTGCAGGGTGAGGGGGGAAAAAGGGAGGGAGAGTATGGGAACGGATGGATGGATGGATGGATGGATGGATGGTGAGTATGGGAAC